TTACTTACTCTGTTGTGGTGTTGACTATAGATTCCTCAAAGGAGGTAATTAAAGCTATGGTTTTCCTGCTCTTCTCTCTGAAGTGCTCTTCATACTGTGGAGGTGGATTCAAAACTCGTGACGCTTTTTGCCTCGATGTGCGTGACAACAGAATTCTGCGGCCGTTCCATTGCCAGATAGTAGAGCGCAAGCCTCAGCTGACTATGAGCTGTAATGAGGAGCCCTGCTTCAAGTGGCATGTGGAGCCCTGGAATGAGGTAAGCAGCCCTCTAAGGCAAGCTCTTAGACCATGCAATTAATTGCAAATTATATGTACAACTGTGGTTACTCAAGGCATTATGAGTATTTAGTTTCAAAGCAAAGCACAAATACATTATTGACTGGGTCTTTGCAGTTCCTCTTAAGGGATGGCAAATCATTTTTGCTGGCAAATTTGTCAAAGGTGTACAGTAATCCATGAGTGCTCACGGGCAACTGTGTCCAAGTTGTGGCCCTCTGGATGATGTAGACTACATAATCCCTGAACTACTACATAATATGGTGCATGGGTATTGTAACTACCGCATTTACTCAAACCCAATGCACACATTTTTTGACTAAATTGCATTTCAAAAATTAGGGTGTGCATTAGATTTGTTCAACCTTGCATAAAAGTGGATCATATTACAGCTGGGAAAAGTCACTTTGTGGGTCAGAACTCCAGAATTTTCCAGGAAGCAAGATCATTGGGACTTGAAATCTAAATAAAGAACTTTTCTCAGTTTTCTAATTCAAAACAAAAACTTCTGCAAGATTGACCTAGGTAATAGTACATTCAGTGACAGTCTAAGAACAAGATTTTGGTGATTCACACAAGGCAAATAACAATAAGTTAATATTTGCTTTGACTACATTTTTGTGACTTTCAGAAGTTAGGCTACTTGATCTTTTGGACAAATGAAGTAAGCAAATTCTTATTTCCATTATTTGCATGTACGTGATTATTCATGGTATCTTCCAGTGTCCTGTTTCATGCGGTGGAGGTATACAACAAAGATCTGTGCAGTGCATCAATGTGGAAGGGCACCTAGTTCCCAATGAAAGCATATGTGAGCACAAGGCCAAGCCACCAGATGTGCAGAAATGCAACCTGCATGACTGCATGGAAAGTGCAAGTGGACTGAACCAAACAGCAGAGAAATCTCATTTTAGAAATAAAGAGAATTCTACCAAACAAGGTACTTCATTGGGAATGTGGGCACCTGTCGGGAGTGCTTTGCTTGTGCATTCCACCATAGCAAGGGACTGTACTAGCTAACCCTTGGGGTCTGTGCCAACTCCTCAAAAAATCACAATAGTTTTGGGGCTGAGAGGCATTCTGAAAGTGTGGAGATCATTTTCACCATACGTTTCACATGTGCAGAGAGAGTAAGATAGGGAGAGGGAGAGAGGGAGAGAGACCCAGGAAAGGCTTTATCAACTACAGGAAGTGAGCAGAAGTCATTTCATGTTCACTCTCTGGGTTGGGGGGAGGGATTGAGGGGGTTTAAAAAGGCCTCTCCTTGGCCTAAAATAATCCAGAAGAGCCCATAAATTGTGAAAATTTCCTCATGCACTATTGAGGGAATTTAGGGACAAAATGTTTTTGAGCCCTTAGCCTATGGCTTTGCATTAGATTCCTCCGTCTCCATGCCAGTTTTGAGCCTAACATTCCTTTTTTAAGGATTTCCAATTCCTGACATAAGGACTGACTTATTATTCAGCATCTGATGTGTTGGGCTTACATTTGATAGACCTGCCAATTCAGTTTGGGTCTTTATCACAATGGTAATTTTTTTTTTGTGATCTTGAGCTGAAAGCTGCAGCACAAGATACAAAGAGGTACAAAATCGGAACGTCTGGTACATTTTGATATGAAGACTCACCTGATGTATAGACTCAATGAACCAGGTCAGTTCAGATGAGTTCACAAAGTGAATTCCTCATGCAGCCCTACACTAACAGATTGTTTATCACTTTCATTTCCCAAAAAAAATTTATTGAAACCAAGATAACGGAATCCTGTAGGTGCACAATGCCAGCAAAGGTGATGGCAGCAAGAGGGAAAATACTGCCAGCTTAGGGACTGGAAAAATAGTCCGCTCGAAGCCAAGAGATTTCATCTGCCTTCTTCACTTCCGCTGCATCACCCTGGAAAAAATGCAGCTGTTATCATTGTGTATCCACAGGAAACCAACCAGTATCCAGATAAGATTAAACCTCATCTGAAATTGAAATGCCTGCAAATCACTGTAAAGTGGCAGTGGCATCAGTCTTCACATCATTACAAATCTGGCAGATAATTACATCTCCAGGAGGGTGACGTCCACATTGACAGCTGCAAAAATTGATAAAACTTTCCCCTATAAATTGAAAGAGACTCCTGAGTCTGGATAATAAAGAGTCTGGAACAATATGAACATGATTACACTAGCAAAACAAAAACAAAGCCTAGGTTCTGTGTGTCCATAGCTTCCTAAGTAAGGAATATCAGACAATAATTGGATATATGCAGCTGAGAGTAGATATCAGCTGTTTGCAGAATTTATATTCATGTATACGCACCTGTAAGTCGACTTCATGTGTAAGTTGAGGGCAGATTTGAGGACAAATTATGGATTCTGATATGAACTGTGGAAAAGTCAAGGGTCATTCCGCAGAGAGGGGAAAACGCCAGCATCATCTCGGAGGTGGGGGGAGCTGCCCTTCACCACCACCACCATGGTTTTCCTGCCCAGGCAGTCAAAAAAGCCTTTTTCCATACTACTCAGGGAAGTATATTTACCATTTTTCATCACATATTTACCACTGCATAATAGTTGCCTCCCGATTTTTGGGTCCCCAAATGGTTTCTCTCTCCCTCCCCCTCCCCCCCCCCCATTTCTTGTGTAATTGTCGCAGATAGTTCTAAACAAAACACAAACAAACCGTGAGCTCTTCCCCCCTCCCTTCCCTCCGCAAAGACAGGGGTAACAGGTGTTTAAAAAAGAAACCAGCAAAAACAAGGCACCAATTTTATTTCATTGCGTAAAAGTCGCATCCTCCTTTTTCCCAAAAAAGGGATTAAAAGTGCAACTATTATGCGATGAAATACAATATGTCATCATGGCTACATGTTTGAAGCAGAATCTTGGTCTCCATTTCTTTACAAACGGATGTACCATAAAGTGGATAGAAGACTATACATATATGGTATATAATCTTGTATAAGTATAGAAATATTAGTAAAAAAATCAACCCCTAATTGGTCCCCATTTCTGTACAACCGGATGTACCATAAGTGGATAGAAGACTATACATATATAATCTTGTATAAGTATAGCAATAGTAGTAAAAAAAATCAACCCCTAAAACCTGGGTCAATTTATCAATGTAAATTCTGTAATGTAATTCTCATTTAAATAAAAAAGGAACCATCCCCTTCTCTGAGTAAAATGGTTTTTGGTTTGTTTGTGTTTTTTTTTTCATGTCTGGAGCGACTTGAGAAACTGCAAGTCACTTCTGGTGTGAGAGAATGGGCTGTCTGCAAGGACATTGCCCAGGGGACACCCAGATGATTGATGTTTTACCATCCTGTAGGAGGCTTCTCCCATATCCCTGCATAGGGAGCTGGAGCTGACAGAGGGAGCCCAACCTGCTTGTTGGATTTTCTTAGTGGTTCTGTAGATAGTTTGTAGGCTGACCAGAGAATTTTCCTAGTTTCCAACAGACCTCACAGCCTCTGAGGATGCCTGCCATATTTGCAGGCGAAACATCAGGAGAGAATGCTTCTAGAACATGACATACAGTCCGAAAAACCTACAATAACCCAACTTCCTCATAGTAAGTTCTCTTAATCAATGGAAGTAGCACTCAGAAGGTAATTGGGTTCTCCTCCATTGGAGATGTTTAAGCAGAGGCTGGATGGCCATCTGTCTCAGATGCTGTAGTTCAATGAGATGGTAGCCTGTTGTACATGACAGCAACAAATCCCATCACCCCAACACTACCCATAGTGCCTAGGGATGACAGGATTTGGGGTTCAGCACTGGGAAAGCAATGGATTTTACCATTATTGCAGTTGTGTAATTTCTTCACTGAACAGAGGGCTAGATTAGATGAACTCCAAGGTCCCTCCCAGCTCAGTGTCTCAGTAAATAATGAATCCTTTCATCTCTATATAAAAGATGTTCAGTATGCTGAGCAGGCTCACTCTTGTCTGTTCATATTTTTCTCTTTGCTTTTGTTATGCCACGGAATACAAACCTGTTCTGACAATGGTCCAGTGATTAAAGCTGGGTCACTTCATTTCTTTCCTTCTGTCTCTCTGACACCTTACTATCTTATCCTACTTCTGTCCACAGCAAATATGATTAACTTTTATTATGTACATGTTTCCCTAAGATTCGCCTTGCAGCAAGGACAGGCTGTCAACAAATTTCTGCAAGAAAGTGAAGGACATTGGCAAATGCTCCGTGCCCTCGGTGCGGAAACAATGCTGCTCCACCTGCAAGAGGCCCTGGGCTGTTAGCAAAATGGAGCCCCAGAACCCACCAAGCCTGAATCCATGATATGCCTGAGAACTTCTCAAAATCCAAAGCTAAGGAATGTGAATGTTATTGAGCACCACTGCCTTTCTTGCTATTTTCTGTGGAACATTAAACCACTCCAAATTCAGGGTTATTTGTAGCAAACATTTGAAATGGTCGACTTGCTTTTTAAATATGTTCTATAGTATATATATATTTCTATTGTCACTATATCTATTTATCTGTTATCTTGCTTTCCTCCTCCTTAAAATATGGCTATGGTGCTACCTTTATGAATCATTTTTGTCATGTTGTGTTCACTGTTTGCCTGAGGCTGTAGAAGTGACATCAACACCTTCATCCTTATCCTGCAAGCAAGAACTACCTTCATCCTTATCCTGCAAGTGGGAACTACAAGAGTTTGATGTTCAAATACCTTGATCTGTAGTGACATGTTCATCCAAGGCAGTTTGGTTATATTGTTGAATAGGGATGGAAAAGCACTTGCCCAATTAAAATGATCAGTTTTCTACCAATACATCATCATTATCATCATCACCACCATCAATTTATTTGTATGCTACTATTCTTATAAGATTGTATCCAAAGAAGCTTAGAACATTTCAAAGAAAATCTAATTAATTGTGCCAAAAAAAACCCAACAGATTCCAAAATCCAAAAAACAATGATACCTTTATTAGGCCAACTAAAAAACACGAAATACATCCTGCAACAAAAAATAGTACTAAAAATAGCTGTTAATGAGCATAGTGTCAGCCAGTATATAATACCACTCAACACATTCACTTTTGCTTAAAGCAATAGAAATAAACCAGCTGCTTCAAACTAAACATGAAGGATACTAAAGTCTAATGCAGATATTAAATACAAAGTCAAAGAAAACAGAAACAATGAATACAATATGAAAACAAAGTCAAACAAAACAGAAACATGGCACTATACATTAAAATATAACACTTGGTAACATCCCAGAAACAGGAGGGTCCTTGGCCAGTTTGTCATATCTCCTTTCCAGCCAGCATTGCATTCCATTACAATTACTCCCTCCATAATTTCTATTGCTATCTACTCTTCTTGCCGGTTCACACCTTTTTTTGACCAGTGACCACTTGACCAGGGACCACTTTGACCAGGGAGCACAGTCCAACGTTAGACCCAAAGGAGTTACAATTCAGTTTTTTGTCAACTTTGGATTTAGTTTGGTTATTTGGGAAGCTGATTCAGAAAATTGCATTGGACAGACCACATCAGATCTAGTTTCTGATCCAAAACATATGCCATCCAGTAGTCACCATCTGCTAACCCATAGAAAACCATATTTAATAAGCCTCAGCACTATAAGAGGGTTTTACAAGACCAGTCACTCTTGTTGCAATGGTGTAGTAACAGTACGGCCGCGGACCATATTTTAGTTCTTGTGGACCACTGGTGGTCCACGGACCACAAGTTGGAAACCATTGTGTTAGACAATATCTTTCTTCCCATCATTGTCCCTCAGCAACCATTGTTAATACCGAACTTATCACCTCATCACCATACCCACGATTTGCATTTTTATGGCTATGCACACACACAGTCTGCCTTGTAACAATGATGCTACCAACTTTTTTACAAGATCCCTTCACAAAAATGATATTACAGACTGACATGGCTATGTCTTTTAAAACAGACATTTTCAAGAAATCAAGAGGGATTTTTTCTCATCCATATTTAGCCACATTCTTGTTGCAGATTTCCTCCTAATCCTCATCTGCATTCCTTCCTTATCTGACCTGTATTAGAATATTTGGATTAATATTTTGAATTTTTCGTCTTGTGATAATGGGGATGTGATAAGTGAATATTTTATTAAACTAAATTATATTTTTTAGACTGAATACTAATGCTGAAAGGTGGTCTGATCCAAAGGCAGCAATTGATAAGCACCTATAACATATCATTACCCAGATATCCTCTTCTGCCTTGAACCATCCAACACATTCATTGTTGTTGTTTATTCGTTCAGTCGCTTCCAACTCTTCGTGACTCTTCGTGACCTCATGGGACCAATCCACGCCAGAGCTCCCTGGCGTCACCACCCCCAGCTCCTTCAGAGTCAAGCCAATCACATCAAGGATACCATCCATCCATATTCATACTAAAGTGATATACATTTCAAATTTTACCCCATTTTTCACTTTGCATCCATCTTCAACAGCAATAGTCCAATAATAATAATAATAATAATAATAATAATAATAATAATACTTTATTTATATCCTGCCACCATCTCCCCAGAGGGATTTGGGGCAGCTCACAGACAGCACACAATAGTGCTATTAGGCACATAGGATGCAGAACAAAATACATAAAGAATTACAATAAAATAATAACAATTTAACATAAGACAACACTCACAAAAGCTCACTTAGAAAAGATAAAAGCCCAACTCCATTTAAAATGAAATACCCCTTAAAAAGTAGCGAACACTACTAGTTAGAGAATGGGCAGTACTAATTTACAAATGGCATACAGTGCAGAGTCAGTGTCAATTTGATTGGTTAGGCTAGAATCTTAGGCATTGTCGAAGGCCTGCTTAAAGAGCCAGGTTTTCTGTTCCCACTGGAAACATTGTACGTGGGGGCATGCCTAATTTCCCTGGGGAGGAGGCCATCACCAAGAAGGCCCTCTCCCTTGTCCCCACCAGCTGTGCTTGGAATAGAGGTGGGATGAGAGGAGGGCCTTCCCAACAGATCTTAGAGCCCATGTATGTTCATATGGGGGCGGGGGATGTGGGATCCAAGGGAATACACAAAGGACTATTATCACCATGTTACCTAGTTTATTTTAATTAATATTGTACTTGGGTCTTCAGGCAGGAAAACCATGTGATTGATTACTGAGTTATAACGTCTTTCCACATGTCACATCCAGTTTGGCCCATATTTTATCACAAACTTACCTACATTACAGCCTTGCATTTCAGTGAGGGCCAGACTGGATGAGACATATAGTGAGAGCCAAACTGGATGAGGATATCTGTGTTCATATGCTCTTTCCTTGTAAATGTCTATCAAAAGCAGCTGAAAGGAAGATTCAGTTTTTTATGACAATGAGACAGGGTTAACCCAATTGTGGGGAACCATGTTTTATCTAAGTCTTATGAGCCTCAACTAGCTTGGTCAGTATAGTGAATGTGGTTAATATTCCAACATTCACCAAAGACAAGGATATCACAGATCTCCATCACCTCACTTACTGTGATCTAAAAAAATATTTTAAACGTTACCATGTAGACTTGCTCACCTTTCACCTCTGAATTAAATTATTTCCAATAAGTCTTACAAATCCTGGAATTTCCCAAATCCCAATTTTGGAAGAAAGACCAGATGATGATGATGGTGCAAAAAATATAATGATGAAGGCAATGTAGAGATTTTTTTCAAGGAAAAGTGGCAAGCTGAAGTCTCAAAGGGTCCTTGCATTAGCTAGAGGTCATTGCAAAGTTGTTACATGTCTTGAGCATTGCCAGTACTCGTTATTTTCTTGAACAATTTGACATATACCTCTAAGTGAACAGAGCATTTTTGTTTTCCTTTTTGGTGCTGAATATGGTGCTGTTAATACCATGGTGCTAAAACCTGCATGGCACCTGAACATTGGGGACATTGTATCGATGTGTTTATATCTGCTCTGAAAGTATACTTTAGCTTGGTGTTGCTGTGCAATGCCCAGTGTATTCCTTTTTTTCAAATAGGATGGGATGAGTTTCTCCTAAATTGCTTCAATTTGTAAAATAGCAGATTATTTTTTGTATAGTCCCTCATGAGAATAAAAAGTGTATCTGCTTCTTTGATGTTGGAAAGAGCTGTAATTGGATTTCTGCATGAAAGGAAGCTTTAGTGTATGGCTGAGATCTGATGGGCATGAACAAGCACCAGCCGGATGGTCACTTGAAATGCCACAGTGTGAGAGTGGGTTGCTGCTTCCACATCCAAGCAAATGAACAGACTCAATTGCTCACAGTGATCCAAGATGATGTACAGATGCACCTAATTATACATAATGGTTGGCATTTAGTATTGCTGTTGCAGATTCAGACCCTAGAATTACAGACCCATAACTGTTCCATATTCAGTAAGTCTACATAAAATCCCCCCACACATAAAGAAACTACCTTAACAGTCAGAAGCTGAATCAGATTGATTGGGGTGCAAGGGAGATGCTGTTTTCCTACAAGTAAAACTGTGACAATCAGAGCAGGACCCTACAATTCCTTGCTGCACAACAGATCACTGGCAGGAAGTGGTTGGCAACATCCTCCTCCTTGGAGCCAATTGGCATCTGAGCAGACCTCCATTGCCCAATCCAGCTCTGGCAGTTAAGGCAGGTTTTGAAGGGTTGGACCAGGAGCTCTTACTTGGTCTTGCATACAAAACTGAGTAGTCGATGTAGAATATTGATGAATATTTGTGTTACAAATGTTCAAAGTATACAAAAGAAGACAGTCAGCCCTCCACAATTTCTGTGGTTAGGGGCACAGGACCTCTGTGTAAGTACAAAAGCCACACATTTTAAAAATGCTTTTTTTTTTTGAGACAGAGAGAGAGAATACATTTATAGGGATCTCTAGATCCTCCAGAAGTAGATTGTAGAGTTGCACTGGAGAATCTAGAGATTCCTAGAGCAATCGTATTAATTATTCTAATCTGCAACAGTCAACCCACAAATGTGATGGGCCAACTGTACAGTCTCCAAAGATAGATGGCCAATTTAGTGGACACTCTTAAACAAAAGTCACAAGCCTGGGGCTAGTCTTAGTTATTTTTACTTTCCTGGTTTCTTTGTGTCTGAGGCCTCTGAGTAGGTTTGTGACAGAGGAAAAATTCAAGCCATAATAATAATAATAATAATAATAATAATAATAATAATAATAATAATAATGTACACTCTGCAAGGAAGCAGATGAAACAATAACAACCCTCAGCTGCTGCAAGAAGATCGTGCAGACAGACTACAAGCAGAGGCATAACACCATTGCTCAAATGATTCATTGGAACTTGTGCCACAAATACCATCTGCCTGCGACAAAGAACTGGTGGGATCACAAGCCAGAAAAAGTTACAGAGAATGAACATGTCAAGCTACTCTGGGACTTCTGGATTCAGACAGACAGAGTTTTGGAGTACAATACTCCTGGCCTCACGATTGTGTTAAAAAACAAAGTATGGATTGTCGATGTTGCAATCCCAGGTGACAGCAGGATTGAAGAGAAACAACTGGAAAAGATGACACGATATGGGTATTTAAAGATCAAACTGCAAAGATTTGGGGAACCCCTTGAATCCATGTTTTAGGAGAAAAGAAAGGTGAAAGTCAAG